TGATGCATCTAGCCAGACCTAAAATATGAGTAGGTGTGAGCAATGCAGAGTGACTGAGTGTGGGGCAGCGTTCTCAACCTGTGGGTCGCGACCCCTTTGTGGGTTGAACGACCCTTTCACAGGGGTCGCCTAAGGCCATCGGAAAACACATATATAATTACATATTGTTTTTGTGATTAATCACTATGCTTTAATTATGTTCAATTTGTAACAATGAAAATACATCCTGCACATCAGATATTTACATTACGATTCATAACAGTAGCAAAATTACAGTTATGAAGTAGCAACGAAAATAATTTTATGGTTGGGGGTCACCACAACATGAGGAACTGTATGAAAGGGTCGCGGCATTAGGAAGGTTGAGAGCCACTGGTGTAGGGGTGTTGTGTGTGTGCATGTGTGTCTGTGTGTGTGGGTTTGGTTGAGTGTTTCAGATACAGAATTTTTTTAAAAATAGCGTTAACTGTTGTAATAATAGACTCCTGAATACATAGCAGCTTACGCGCAATAGAAGTGTATTTCTTACTCAGGTAACTGTACTGGGCAGCAGACAGAAATATGTCTTTTCTCCACACCGTGTAGAGACCGCTGCAGTCATTGCAGAAGAGGGAAAGGGAGACTGAAGAACCAATAACGAAGTTTTCATTGCCTTAGCCCGCAGGTGACACATACAAGCTCTGCTCACATTTCATTGGCCAGAACTAGTCACATGGCCTCTCGTAACTGAACAGGATGCAGCAGGTATGGTGGGGGAGGCAAGTAGAATGTATGTCTAGGACCAAGTCAACTACCCGTTCAGTGGTTTCCATATAGTCTTGTCCTTGCCACCATTTGTGATTGTACAGGACTTCAAAGGTCCCTGCTGCCCCGGTCATGCTCTCAGCCTGCTCTGAGTTAATCTAATGAAGGGTCTAGAATTGAGTACTGTTGGGAAGGAAACTCCCCTTATTGGTCAATGTTTCCGTGTTGAAGGACCTCCACTGGAATCAGACTCCTGGCCTCTAGCCCCACCCCTGACACTCCTTGCAGAGGGCAGGTGGTGACAGGTGAGTGAATTGGGGGAAACAACTCTCTCAAAGGACTGTAAGCTTCCCCTTCCCCAGTGTTCCCTGCCCCAGGCAGACAGCTCCCAAGTCCCCTGGGTGCTGAGTGGGCTCTGGGTGTGTGTGCGGGAATGCAGGGAGGGCTTGTGGGCATAGAGTATTCATCTTTGGTCCGTAGATCAAATGTCATTTTCTCCCATTAGTTTATAAATAAAGCTGACAGTTTAACCTCTATTGGTCTCCTGGGTCTTATTTTTCAACTGGTTCTGAACTCAGAATGGGAGAAATTGGCATTTTATGTTGAATTCCTAAAATCTTGTAAGAGGTATAATACTTTAATGCTTTAAGTGTGGTGTTATTTTGTTTGTTTTGTTTTGCAGAAGTAACATGGGCCCATATCTCTCACTTTCTGAATACGGCACTTCTCTTAATACAGTCCAAGATGATACTGACCTTTTGGAGGTTATGTTATATGATTGCCTCATATAAACTTAGCATAAAATGAAAACTCTGAAGTAAGGCTTTTGCTTTGACTTGAAACTAAACATTAGAACAGACAAGAACATGGAGGATCTGAGGGCTCAGGGTTAAAGAGATCTGGATTATGAACAACAAAGCTGAATTGTCTTAGGTAACAAAAATCAGAAAGGGAGGGGACTGGGCAGTTGATTTTAATGAAATAATGAACACATTTTGAACTTTGCACCCCCTCTCCCCGCAATTGTCAATGAAAATCAGACACATTGCTATGGAAAGAATAGCTTATTTCAATTCACGTGTTGATTTTCAACTCACCACATAAATGAAGATAGCTATTACTTACAGGAAGGGGAGTATGAATTTTTTTTCCAGGGCAGCAAGATTTTCTTTTTGTCACCATGAAAAAGACCTTGGGAAGAATGAACTTTGATATTATTTTATTTGCACAACTTCTGAAATCTTTCCGTCACTTGATGTTGTGGGAGGCTTAAAGACCATTATTTGTTCCAACACATGACTCAACTTCTCTTTTCACAATTCTCGTAAGGATTGTCTTCTGTGATTGGGACTAGATGGCATTTGGAGTTTCTGCCTCAGAAACGTCAGGATAGAATGTGCCTGGGCTCTTTAGATCCTACCTGGTAATACACTGCATCCTAGTTTTGCTGTTCTTAGTAAACATTTTAGGTACTTACAAAAGTTCTGATTCTTTACCCTTTCATTTTTTCAACTAGAGAGTCAGCCTATGAATCAACTCAATCATAACATGGGTTTCCAGGGCAGCACATACATTAGTTTTCTATGATTCATTGAAATTCATGCAAAATTCCCCAAGAATCAGTGTTTTTAAAAGCAGAGCAAAGGTTTGGCTTAGCCTGGTTAAGGGTCATCAGTGCCTCACAGGAAAAATCACCCTGATGAAGCTTGTTGGAAATTTCCATGAAGCCAGAGGCCACGGGCTGGTTTTGTGGGTTGTTGGGCTTTCTTCTCTCTCCTATTTGTTGACCTATCTGAGCTGTTTCAGCATCCTATCCCCTTCCTTGTCTTCCGTTCCTTTTATTTTGGAGATTTATTCAGGAATTACTAAATACTCACCGAGTGGTCTCTACGGGAGAGTAGAATAGCACACCGCCATGGTCTCTGCCTAAGGCCATCATCACCGGAATCACCATCACTACCATCACCATCACCACCATGGAGCATGTGTCTTGTGCTACACTCTGTGCTAGGTACTTGAAATGCAATATTTTTTTATTTTATTTTTTAATCCTCACCCGAGGACATTTTTCCATTGATATTTTAGAGAGAATGGAAGAGAAAGGAAAGACAGAGAGAAGTATCGATGTGAGAAAAACACATCAATTGGTTGCCCCCTGCACAAGCCCCGGCCAGATTAAAATTTCTGTTTGCTTGACCCCACTTTCAGTTATAAAATAAATAAGACATGGGAATGTAATGTACAGCATGGTGACTGTATTAGTAATACTGTATTGCATATTTGAAAGTTCCCAAGAAGGTAGATCTTAAAAGTTCTCATCACAAGGAAAAAAATTTAGCAACTTAACTAGACTTATTGTGGTGATCATTTCACAATGTACACAAATACCGAATCATTACATTGAACACTTGAAACAAATGTTATATATAGTTACAATTCCATTAAAAAAAGATAGAAGGTGGAGGGACTTTGCCCAGAAGTTCTGGGTAATTGGACGTGAATGTCTATCCACAGATGTTTGTTCAAAGAATGAATGAGTGTGTGTTGAGAGAGGAGGGAGCACACAGTGCCAGGTGAGCAGCATACACTCGAACAATGATGTTCCAACATTAACCTAGAATAAAATCAGAGCCTTAGCAACAGCAAGCAATCTGGCACATTCAGAAACTTACCGAGAAGAAAACACTTACTGATGAAATAGACATACATATCACTTCCTTTTTACTTTATAAACACTTAACAATGACCAACTGGAATTGCTACAGAACTGAGAATGAGAAAAATAGTCTTATTCTCACATCTATATAATTTTTCAGAATTAAACTTACTGGCTCTGGGCCTTAAAATTGATCTGGCTGAAATCCTCTTATCCATAGACTTAAGAAAACGGACTAATAAACAGCTATTTAAGGAATTCCTAAGAAATCACAGTTGGTTACCGTAAAACAAAACATAACACGTACAAAATATGTAAATCAGAAAATGATACGATGACTTTTTTGAGTAACAGAATCAGTGTTTGAGTTAGGTCTCATGAGTTTGAACATCACAATAATGCATTGTTCTTGGTGTGCTGATTAAATGACTCTCTCAATTTTCCAGTGCACCCTCTGGCTAAAAGTACCGTTTCGTCTATCCCACATTCACACTAATATTTATTCTGCAAATTCCTGAAAAATCAGCCCTCACACTACCAGGCCCACTTCCATCCCCGGCTCTTGCAATGACGCCATCTCAGAGCAGCTGCCCGCAGTCTCTGCCGACAGCTACCCTTTGCTGCAGAAACATCACTGCGGCCTGTCCTCGGTGTCTATTTTAAACCTCAACGTTGAAGGGCAAGATGGTGAGAAAATCGCCTTGAGTCTAACCAGGGCTTTGTCAATGTGTTGCCATGGCTTCTCTGTTGTGGGATTTGGGGGGTCTGGTTAAGGGAGATTAAAGCAGTGGGTGGTGCAGCATTTTTCGCTTTAAACCTGCAAG